TGAGAGTAGGATACTTCATGACTATACTTTTCAATAGCTTCAAATTCATGCTCAAACAGAACTAGAAGCAATCTATCCCTTAGGACCAACTGAAAGTAATATACCATTCCTCATCTGAGACCTATAGGAAATCATTCTTTTTCAATTATAAAAAATTCCAAACAATCTTCTTCTAATACTTTCTCAAACTTGTCTTCTCTTACTCAACAAAGTCGATAGAAGGTCTTCCCTAGAGTAAGATCTTTCTTCAATATGACTTGATTTTTAATAGATTCCTGATTCAATTTGTCCCTCGGGATGATCAAACTCTTCATCTGATGCTTATTATGTAAGCTCACTTGATGTTAAGCACTTGTTTACATGCAGATAATGTTTATTATGAGAATGATAATTCTAATGTGAAGGTTATGTTTGTCTTGAAGTTAAAAAACTTGTATTGAAAAGATATTGTAACAACGATTTTTTTTCATGGTAGGAAATAAAATATAGTGTGATACCAACTCATTAGTTTTAGTAAAAACCCTAGAAGGAAGATTATGGTACTCTCATTACAATATACTTTTAAAAAGACCCATGATTATGTTAGGACTTTTAAGGGTTTTAACATGGTCTAGTTCAAGGTTTGAGAAAAAAGGATTTAAGGCTCAAATTTATTTGTACCCACTCACTCTCCATGATATTCTCCATTCCTACATTCAACTAACTCAATAAGAGCACTCATCTCTGAAGAGGAGTTTATGATGGTTGAGGAACCGTTGAGATTTCTTGGACATGGGATTCACTCGCCTTTTTTCTTGGTGTCTAATCGTAATACTTTGTTCTTATGAGGATTCTGCTTTGGTAATCCTTTTTACTTTTTTATTTTTTTATTCTTTTTCGTATCCCTAACTTTTTCCTGAACATATTTCTTTTGAATTTTGATTTTTAAGTCCAGTGGGATGCCCTAATTTTTACCTAAGTCAATATTTTTCAAGTTTTTTACTTGGAGGTCCTTCTTTTATTTATATTTTTGCATTCATTCTTTTTTGAACAAGTCGTGTGACCTTGGTTCTTTTGACTTTTTGGAAGGGTTGTGATTGCCTTGCTCCTGAGTTGATGAGGGATAATTATTATGTTATCGTCATCTTTTGTCCTCTTGATATGGGAGAAACAAGGTGTGGTTGATCCTTGGATGTTAACTCCTTTTTTAAATTTGAACGGTCGATTAAATTAACTGAACAATACCTGACCCCGGGTTAAAATGAGGGCTTTTTTCTGAATAGAAAAGAAACTCCTACTTCGAGGCTCAAAGGAGTTAACGAGGTCTATCTCCATTCAAGCTGATTATACCACTCAAGAGATGCTCCACAAAGGGTATCCTAAAATAAGTGCAAGAGAAGCTTGTCATTTTTCGTATAAGGACCCATCTTGTTGAATAATAACTTTAAGTGAGTCATCGGACCTGTGGTACCCGTGTACTTCTCCAAACTGAGAACTTTGAATTTTGCATGAATTTTGATACCAGGCACCAAGCACAAACTAGCAGCGCCTAAACCAAGGGAATCATGACCCTCAATAGCCTTCATCTTCTCCTCTAAAAGGTGGATCCTTTTCTCAGATTCAGTCTCATCAATCAAAAACCTCAAGGTTTCATATGATGCATCACAAATGTCTTCATGGTGAGGTGCTCCATTGACATGGATTTGAATGGTGTTTTTGACATTCTAATCCAAAGGAATGTCTTCTTGGTTAAGATTAACAACTGGTGGATTAACATTATCAACAATAGTAGCAGTGGGCCTGTGAATAGTCTGTCTCTTTTCTTCTTGTCCACAGGAGATGCTCTGAATAACCTACATGAATTTTCCTCCTTTTCTTATGATCATATCATTTTCATTATTTGCTCAAATGAAGTGATTCAAAGATCCACATGAAGCTTACATATCCCTTTGCAACTTTTATTTTAATTTCATTTTCAACTATCACTTGTATTAAGAGATAGAGCATCATGAATAGAGGCACGTCATGTGTTTGTCAAAATGTTGGCCTGACATGCAAGCATGACTTGTAATTTTCCATCTTTATGCCCTAAAATCCTAAGTCCAATAACTCACAAATACTTCACTTTTGGGACTTAAGCTCAAACTAACAAACTTGTAGGTTTTATATCAAGCTTTCTAAGAATGTATGGTTTGCTTCCATTGGACAAAAAATAAGAAAGTTATAAATGTTCACATTCAGTACTATAGGGACTTAAAGACTAAGGAATTTTCTACGTATCCGAGTAACTTCTTGAACAAGTTATCTCCATTTTTACCTCTTCTCTTGATTTTATGACACCAATAATTCTTAATAATGAAAATAGGATACTTGAATTTATAGTTGACCAAAAGTCCACTTGGTCAACTTTGACTTTGGTTGACTTTTGGTAAAAATGACCATTTTCCCCTTTTGATCAATTGAACTTATTTCATTCAAAATTGGCACCCAATATTTCAATCATAGGTGCTTATCAACATATAGAGAGGCATGGAATTAAGTCTTTCCCAAAAAGTTAGAGATTTCTTGATTAAAATCAAAACCCTAATTTTAGCCCTCTCTAGTAGGAGATAGTGACCAATCTTCAAAGCCCTTATTCTTCTGGACAAATTTTGAAATTCTTTGAACAAATATGCCTTATATTATGATGAGAAGGTAATACCTCACACTCTTGACTCTTACAAGCCTCAAACTCTTCAACTGAACAAAACCCTAATCTTGAGAAATGAACAGTGGAAATGTGATTCTTACCCAAACTTTGCAAATTTCCAACTTCTAATGATTATATGGGACAAATGAGATGTCTTGTAATATAAGAAACCTTTGAGAGAGTTTAAAGATTGAAGATATGAGATCCTCTTTTGTACCTACTAACGAAACAAACATCTCTTATAGCCCGTAGAAGAACTTGGGAACCAAGATACCTTAATCCCATCATGAGAATGTATGAGTATGTATGATGAAGCATAAGCCATGAAAGGTAAAATGAAGAGGGAAAATTTTGGGGTGTAATAGTGTCATTTGTCGGTAGAATTAGAACATAAATCATACTGGTCTATTAAGACCCTTAATTTAAATTATATTTCCGTAAGAGAGAAGAGAATTTTAGACATTAATGAACTAGAAGAACTTAGATTAGACGCGTACGAGAATGCACGTATCTATACTAAAAGAACTAAAAAATGGCACGACAAGTGTATATCGAGGAAAGAGTTTAAGGACAGTGACATAATACTTCTTTTTAATTCTCGACTTAAACATTTCTCTAGTAAGCTTTGTTTTAGATGATTTTGTCCCTTCAAAATTACCAAAGTTTTTCCAAATGGAACAATAGAAATAAAGGGTAAATCTAGTGAACCATTTATCGTAAGTGGACAAGATTTAAAACATTAACAATGTGTTAACAACAGAGACTACAATTGTAGTTTAAAGCTCACGGAGTTGTGCGGTAACTCCCAGAATTAATTTTTATTTCAGTCGAGCTTACGACATAAAACAAAGCACTTGGTGGGAGACAACCCACATTTTTAATTTTAGTGTTAATTTTAGTTTGTCATTTCTTACTGCTTTCCTTTTTCTTTATTTTCTTATCTACATTATTACTCGTGAGAATTTATCCCTACTAACTTAGTATCAATGTCTACTTACTTTCAGGCTAACTTAACTTTAGCTAACTAACTAACTCTCACGATGCAACAAGTGGTCTATATGGATATAACCTTCAGAGGCAGAGCTCAGAGGCGGTGATTTAAAGTTATAACTGAAAAGGAGATGGAACTAACCATCTACCCTAATGGCCACACCATGACCTCGCTAGGCATTAGAGATAGTGTCATGTTTCTACTTGACCAAATTGGATGCGGAAATTTCAAGGTAGGAAGAAGATTTATTTCTTACCGTAGGGTGACACTTGTGTTCCTTAGTTCACTTACTTTCATGCCTGGCCATGGATTAGGATTTAATCAAGTTTTGATTATTTTTATAATGTTTGGAATTGACTTATGTTATAATAGCAGAGAGTTTGCTAGCCTTTTAGGAGTTCGTCTGGCCCACACGTCTTTGCTAGCACCCCAGAAGGAGGTCTTTTGGACCTTGAACTTGGATATTTTTGGGATAGCATAACTGGAGATAGCATCCCCGAGCCTGATAACATGTTTTCTGCGAATATTTATAACTCTGATATTCGTTATTTCCATAAGATTCTTGCTCACACCTTTTTTGGAATAGAACAAAACATTAGCTCGGATTTCAAAGATGAACTTTTTATCATGTATTGTGCATCCTAAAATCTCCCTGTTAATGCTGCTACATTTATGTTGGCTAACTTCTCTCGTCTTGCAGAAGTTGATAATGAAGCAATCTTAATAGAAGGGTTAGTGACCATGATAACAAATGCTATTGGGTTGAGATAACCATTAGTTAGACTTGACCCTCTAGGAGGAATACATCCCATGAACACCCATTTCTTTTCAATACCAGCTTCATTAAAAACCTAGGCCCGAACGAGTTTGAACTCTTTATCAATAATCGAATTATGCACCTTTTCACATTTCCAAACCCCAACACTAGCATACATGACAAAAATAACTGGCTTTTTTAATTAGACGAACCCCATAATGACCCACAAACTCCTGCTAAGACTCCTCAAGTTTATGACCATTTTGATATCTCTGAAGCTGAAACTAATCCTAAAACCCCTCCATTCTACAATCACCTTCCATACCCTAACAATACCCACCCTGTAGCTATCCATCAAATCATTGCACCACTTCCACTTAAGGACCATCAGCCTGACACAACCTCTTGCACCTACGCTACACCACTTTCTCCACTTCCTGATCACAATGTTGTTATCATCACCCTCTAGACTAACATTGCTAACATTATAGCTGACCTCGCTTCATTGTGCATCGACTTTTACAGATTTATGGATATAGTGATGGAGCAGTTTGATAATATCTTTCAACATCTTTATTAAAAAATCATTCCGGCAAGAATGCTGCTTGAACATTGTAAGACATTGAACCGTCTCGCTCTTGTGAACACGGATCATAAGTGGCAAAAGCCGCCGGAATCCTAATGGATTGTCCATAAGCTCTCCTCGCTACTGTAAAAATTGCAAATTTATTTTTATACACTGGCGCAGATGATTGCCCCTAAGGCACCGATGGACCAACGCCTTCGTCTATCACCCGAATTTTTAGTAGTAGTGCCAGATCAAGCAGAGAGCGCTTTCAAGGAACGAAGTCATTTGAGTACTATAGTAGGTAGAGGTAAACTTCGTTCTAAAGAGGTATCCGACTCAACACAATCAGTCACTTAATAGGGCTTCTCACATTGGTCCGCGGCAAAGAAAGAGCAAACCAGGCAGAAACTAGATATGCTATTAAACACGGGGGGACCTCCCGGGCTTTCTATTCCTATTCCATAATAAGCCCTACCTACTAGTATAGTACTAGGATCAGGCTTCATGTTCGTGTTCCAGAATGGGCAGCTAAAGCCTTTCTTTGAACCTTAGACTCATCTCTCAATCCACTTAATGTACGTGTTGAATTTTATCCGGATTAAAAACCAAATAAAAAGACGTCCCGATCGATAAAGATAAACATCAAGAAGCGCGGCAAAAGGCTCTACAAATACTCACTAATTAGATAGGATAGGCCCAATCACTATTCAATCCTGGAAGCAAGCATTACGGCCAGTAAGACAACCAAAACTATGCTTCCCAAAAAGACTGCAACGTTCGGATTACTTGACTCCAGCTCACCAGCACTATGACTACTGCTTGCTTCAATGACTCCCGAACCATCATAGATAGCAAAAGTCATGTCACTCCCGCTCGGCGAATCAATCGCAAGTCCCAACCCAGAAAAAGAGGCAGAGTGAAAGGAAAGGTCGGATAATGGGCTACATGTTGGAATGCCTCTAAGGAGGAACTACACTGGCATTTGATAATCTAAAAAGCCAACCAATTCAAATACAGGGCTTTTGATAGAGCCCTTTACAGGAGGAGATGCTCAGGGCGCGATAAAGCTCGTCACGAGACCGAGAAAGCTCATCAGTGGAAGAAATGTGTCACGTAGTCTCGATTTATCAGTTAATAATTATGAATATCTCCCATAGATTGAGACTTAGAGATTTCAAGTAAGGGAGGCCTGCCTTAAGATTGACAACAGGTCGGTCGATATCGGTACTGGTTCAGCCTGTGAGGGATTCATTCAGTAAGGGAGGGGGCTCTAAATCCGCCTAGGGGAGAGAATAAAAGTAAGACCTTTGAGCACTCAAGATGAGAAGAATCCCGCTGTCCTGTCTCATTCCCATTCTCTTTGAAGCACAGATCTCATCTCTTTTCAATGCAAAATAAGGGCATTTATCTCAAGTTATAGAGGGCAAACACACACCTGTCTAACGTCAGTTTCGCTGTACTGGCATTTCGCTCTCATCGATGGAACGAAAAGATTTAGTTGACTTAATGACTGGTCTAGGGTGAGAATAGCATGTGTTCTCTTCAAACTAGGTTTTCATGGGCGGGCTATTGAGAAGAATGAGGTTCTCATATCAGAATCCCTATTCAAACGAGGGGAGAAGGAACTGTTAACGAACAGTAGGTGTTCTCTTCAAAGCAAGCAAGACCGGCGAAGGGTTAAAGCGATTCTTTTGAAAAGAGTCTTCGTTGAAGTGAGCTCCTGTCTAATAGTAGACAGGCAGGTACGTGCTCCGATATAAGGGGGTCAGCTCGGCAAGTAAAGGATATAAGGAAAGAAGCTCATAAAGTCATGACATGCAACCGAGCAAATAGAACCTTCCCTCTCTGCAAGCAAAGAAAGAAGAAGGTGAGCGATTGTAAGGGAGAGGAATGGAAGTGAGAAGCGGCGGATGGGTCGGTCTAGTTCAAAGCCTAAGCTAAAATTGGTCTAGTTCAATAAGCGTACGATTGGTGAAGCTATGAATCGACAGATTTTGGAGTGAAATAGACGTTGGAGTGTGAATCGGTAGATTTCCAGTGCGGGAGTTCGAGGTAGTCTTTCTTTGATTCTGGTTTCCGATCTAATCATGTGATTCTTTCAATCAGCATGCTCTTCTCCGATGTATTCTTTTAGGCGAAGAAGCGGTTTATCCGAGAGTGGGGTTACTTACCAGAGAGTTTGGCTTGGTCTTGCTTTCTTCTTTGTTGAGCAGTTATCTAATTCGTCCTCATTGCCAATCTTTACTCCTGCTTCAGACCTGTTTAAAGTCTCCGTAATGTCCGAGCGTTAGCAATCCTCTAATTGTGGTCTTAGAGCTCTCTAGAGCCCTTAAGATTAAATGGTTTTGCAATCATGCTCCTCTATCCATTCTCGACTTAATCCTCTCTAGCTTTGGTTCGTATTGGGAGTGTTCTCCTTTTGGCGGGGGCTTGCCTCCCATCTGGTACTTATGTGGTAGGTGGGTTATTGAAGGTGGATAGGTTTTTGTAAGAATAAGTTTAAGGATAAAGATCGGTAGAAAGATCAAGATCGGGAAGAGCTTCTCTTCGAAGGTGCCGCTGAGGAGCTCTGTTCGGGTACCCCCCCTCCGGCTCGTAGTTGAGAAGAGCTTTAGTTTAGGAAAGGGCTAAAGGGGTGCGATCCCTCTCGTTGAGAGTCAAGGGTCTCCAGGAGTAGAAGGCACATCCTGGATCTATTAAGCCGGCAAGGGTTCAGCATTGGCTTTCACGACCGCAAAGGGGCCATCTCTCAGTCGGAGTAGATAGAAAGGATCTTCTGATCAATCCAGAGATAATTTCGATTCCATTAGTAATGAGGATTCGGAATATCACACATTGATCAATCAAAGAGAGATTCAACAAAACAACTAAAAGAGAGATCGATTCTTTGGGATCCTTCCGGGAACAAACAGAGATAGAATCAGACCGATTCCCGAAATGCCTTAAAGGATATTCCTTTATGTCCCACCTTTAGTAAGCATCTTGTTGCTTCTTTTTTGCCCGCCCCGCGCTTAAGAGTGCTTGTAATGATTAACCTCTATCATCGACTTCCGACTCTGTAGGCTTGTAAGCCTCCTCTGTCCCAACTTTCTTCTTATAACTAAGAAAGCATAGGCAAATATCTTATTATAATAGAATTCCTTCAAAGATGCTTTTCTCCTCTAGCCACAGACATGCTTGACTACCACTACCTTCACTATCAAGCCAAGAAGGGTAATTAGTAACACAGGCTCGGTGGCAGAAGATAAGGCCAACTCAGTATTTTAGTAAATAAGCACCTCTACTAATGCGGGTGGGGTTCCAGAAGTGGACCTCGATCCAACCGAAAAACTCTTGTGTGAAAAATAAACTCTCTTTTGAAAAGTTCTGTTAGGTTCTTAGTAGCAATAGGTGACCTTATACCAATCCCGATCCATTAGATTTGTTCGGAAAATAAACGATAGACAAGAAAACATCTCGGAAATCTGGGGGTCAGTTTTGTGGATATTCTTCGCGCAATGCGCGAAGTTCCCGGAAAAAGGGATATTTTGTCCCCTCTCTATCCAACTGGGCGAGTCGGTTTGTAAGAGTCTCTGGCCGATATTCCCACTTTTTTTTTGTTAAAATGGAGTCTCCCAGACCAGAAGGCTGGTTCGGTTTTCAACCCAGAAAGGGTCTGGGTCCAGCTCGGCCATCCGAGATATAACCTTACTTTTGAGGTTAATCAAAGTTATAATCTCATCTATGGGGGGCTGCCACCCCCTCTTTTTAGAGGCAGCAAAGAGAAGTCTTGTATTGATCTTCTCAAAGACTTCCCCCAGTGGCCCTTCTGGAACTTGCCCAGGCTGCGCAGCCTCTGGTTTAGGTGCGGGCTCTCCTCCGGGCTGTTCAAAGTCCCTAAAGATAGACTCCCCGCTTATGCCCGGGGAATTTCTTTCGAGCGCACCAGGAAGCCGCTGCCCGACTCCCTGAGAAGGCTGCGAATTTATTTCTTCCCCAGGTTCGGCGGTATTTTGAAACCAGCCAGAGAGACCCTCAAAAAAAGAATCAGAAGGATTGTCACCCCCCCCCCGGCCCCACTAGCATCCATCATCATCGATGTAGAGGGGAGGTCTGTAGGCCTGACGCCTATAGAAATAGACAACCACTCCAACAAAAGATTGAAGGCCGTAACTTCCAACGCACAAAATAGGAACCCCAGAGAGAGGAACACCGAAGCCAAGGCCAGCCAAAGCCCAAAGGAAGACCCACTTGAGTATAGTGTTAATGAAAAAAGTGATAAAGCGGGTTTCGTCTCATTTTCCGGAAAGCCAGTCATACTATTCCACTTTAGCTAAGCTAATGATGAAACGGGATCTGGATTTGTCTGCAGATGATGATGTCCACTCCTGGCTCGATGCGCTTAACGAAAGGGAACGAAGTCTCTAGATTAATTAATAAAGAATTTCCTTCGTCATTAAGCAGCATCCTTTAAGTGAGTAGGGGTGCGCCGGACCGCCGACGAATAATAGGTACCCCCACACCCCAGGCAGAGTTAGTGAGCCGTGTAATAGGCGACCATTTCGCGCGGTTCGGGGGGCACTTGAGTCAGCCGCCGGCGCCCGACTGCGTCTTGACCCCTATCCAATTTTTGGGCCAATTCCCCCTTCGTACTACCAAAAAATGAGATTCTTGCCGAATCCGAGTTTGCTGCTCCAACCATTACCAAACTTATACCTATTCTGTTTAGTACTTCAGGTGCTTCTGTTGCGTATAATGTAAATCCCGTAGCGGATCAATTCCAACGAGCCTTTCAAACAAGTACTTTTTGTAATCGACTCTATAGCTTCTTCAATAAACGCTGGTTCTTCGATCAAGTTTTGAATGACTTTCTAGTCAGATCGTTCCTGCGTTTCGGATATGAAGTCTCATTCGAAGCTTTAGACAAAGGTGCTATTGAGATATTGGGCCCTTATGGTATATCGTACACATTCCGACGATTGGCCGAGCGGATAAGTCAACTTCAAAGTGGATTTGTTGTGCGAAGAGTGCGTTATGACCCGTGGCCGCCTGCCTGGTCTGGTGGGGTCCTCCGTTGTGGGTAAACGGGAAACCCGACTCTACGAACCCGAGGAAAGGCTGCACAGCAGTAGTAGGGGCGTGAAGACCGGAGCTTTTTGTAGTGCTAGCAGGAATGCAAGTGAATGAATCCCATCCCCTAGCGAGTGAAGTGCTTACGCCCCTTTAGATTAGAGATAGGGGCGCGCTAGCGTTATAATAATAATAGAAAGGTTAGGGGGCTGAGAAAAGCTTGCTGTCTACTTATCTTCACTGCCCCGTTCTGTAACTTCCCTTCTTTAGTCCGTCCACGAGGCTGTAAAAAGATAGAGGGGCGGCTATATAGCGGGAGTCGTTTCGGTTGTATGCCACGAGGTCCCTATGGACAAGGGGACAAGTTAATCATCGCTTTTGGGCGCAGGCAGCCCTCTACCATCCATCCCATTGCATTCCATCGTCTCGTATTGTACTGTACCGTACCAGATACATCTATTGAGTGAGAGAAAGGTAGCTTCTCTATAGATATATTATTCATTTTTTCTATTGATAGGGATCCCCAGATTCCCGTCACTACGGATTGATTGTCTCTACCTAACTACATGGTAGTGGTCTAGGGAGCGCAATTGCTAGAGCACGGGAGAATGAAGAGTAATGATTTCAGCAAGAGCAGCCGGACGGACTACTATAGTGAGTCCTGTGACTACTAGAGTAGAGTTGAGTCAAAAGGTATGGTATAGCAGCCTTTCCGAGCGAGCCTCTGGGATCTCCTGTAAACCCCCATGATGTGGTAAAGGGAGGATATTAGGGGAAGCAGTGAGTGGAGATTCCCCTGCAGAGAGCCGGATGAGGGGAGACCTTCACGTCCGGTTCGGAGGGCGGGGATATCCCGACCCTACTATCATTATGCCTTTGCAATGTTACTTGGTTCAACTCTATTTGTGACCTTTTCTCGTATGTGGGACTCTCTATCTTCTTGGGTAGATAATCGATCGTCTTTCATTTTGATAGTTAGTAGTATTTATTATAATAAGTCAATAAATAAGAATAAATAATAATAGAACTGGAGGAGCTAAAAGCCGGGATGGCTTGGTAAGCAAGCAACCTGTTATGTAGGCGCCAACTCCCATTTCTTTCTCTTCTTTCTTTTTGAAAGTCACGATAAGAATGAAAGGTAGTTCGCTGGGCCTGTATTTTGATCCCAGAGGTGCTGGTTCGACTCCAGCTCGTGAGAAGGCTTTTTTTTTGTCATATCCCTTTGTCTCGCTTGTTCTTATTCAGTTCCTTTGTCCTTCCATCGCTCAACTATTTGTTGAACATAGAATTCGCCCGATATAAGATTAGTACCAACTGGGATCATAAAGCGGATTGGGCTAACGGAAAGGGAGGAGTCAGTCGTTCTGCCATCGATTACAGGCAAACCTTCCCCGAGCTACAGCCCTCACTGTCGATTCAAGACACAAACAACTACCTGTACCACAACCACTGGCATATGCGGTATGCGGGTGTCAGGTCTAGGTCTAGATGGAGGTTCTCGTTCCAGTTCTATTTCTAGTTTAAAACAACAAATTCAAATTTAATCACCAAGTGGATATCTCGAGAACTAAAGGTGCCAAGCCTCGGATTCGACTTGAAATGAGGATAAGGCTTCCAGCTAGATATGTATGATTCACCCGGTACCTGGTATTGGTAGTAGCATCAGTCTCTTTCCCCTCCCTCTGTATGAGTTGAGAGGCTGAGGGGAAGTCTACTAACTATAGGGCTACTCCACCTGACTCACGGTCGCTCCACGGGAAACCACCACTAGGAGACGAAGCAAGCCGAGGGTTTCGAGGCAGATATCGCCATGACACGGTAGTAGGGAAACCGGTCCTTGTAAGCAGCACTAGAGAGGGGATAGAGACTCGAGACTTCAAACTAATGTCCTTCTTCCTCTGAGCCAGGTTCCTTGTAGAGTCTATCTACTAGAGACATTAACGGTGCTCACCCGGGGTTGGGAAAATTAAATACTCGAATGGAACGCCCTCCATCGTAAAGTTCGGCGGACACGGAAGAGCTAGTTCATAGGGCTCGTGCAGTCATGGGACCGACGGTTAAAAGCTCGGGATGATGATGGGGCTAGCAACAGGTCCTCAAAGAAGCTAGATCTCTTGGGCGCTTTGTTTCCCTTGTAGCCAAGTCATACTCATTCCGTACGACGAAGGATTGGGCCTTCGAGGTCGGAACTCATCACATTACTGGGTAGATCAGTTGGGGGATAAGGGTTTTAGTTCAATAAAGGTGCTTCTCATTATATCGAATAATAAGTTAGGCCTGTAGTGCTCCGGGATTCTAACCCGTTCCCTGGTAGTAGAGAGAGAGATCCGCATAAGCCGTGCTGGGGAATACCAGCTAAGTAACTCGAAACTGGTAACTATAGCCCGCTCGCCTTTCGCTACTCTAAGTCAGCATGTCCCTTCTTTGGCAAAGGCTACTCGCTCGCGGTATACTTTGCTAGCTTGATTGCTGGCTCTAAGCCTACCTCCTTGACTACATCCTGATAACCGCCTGCCTGTCTTGACAAAAGAAGCAGTGCAGTAAGCGTCTCCGGACATAGAAAGTAGGCAATCACTTGAACTTCGTTAGCGGTGTAGGTTTCAGTCGTAGTTTCTGGTATCGACACAGACAGTGGGAAATCTCTATACGATTGAAGTCAGTGTGCGCAAGACAAAGTCTAGTTTTTACTTTGAGTTCCTCTTATAATAAAATAACATATAAGAAGCATTCCACAGTCGTAGGTACTCAATTCAATTGGATTGAACTGCTTGAGCAGGAGCTTTGGACTCGACGAGGTCTTGGGTGCTTGCCCTATTTAGAGTCTCTTCCATTCTCTCTTCACCAGACAGATAGACAAATAGGCAATCCGATAGAGAGATTATGGCTTCCTCACTATCAGCAAGCTCCCACAGGCGATGAACTACTTCCGACTTATTCGGTTTGTAGCCATACCGTATAGAGTGCAAAATACCTTTGTTTGGGAGTAGCTAGATTAAAGCAAGATAGCTGCGGATTCTGTTCATAGAGAGCCCCATTCCTCACTCACAAGCTCTTTCTCAGCCCCTGGTTGAACCTAACGAGTGCATTCAGTTTAATGTCCAAAATCAGTTGAAATTGAAAGGACGTACAATCGGCGAGAAATGAAGTTCCTTTACTTAGGGCTTAAAGCCCTTCTTGCCCTAAGTCTAATCCCTAATCATGCGCAACACATGGACTTTCAGTCCTGCTTTCAGGATTTGATGCTCTTTTGAGACAGCTTTCAATAGAACATAGAGCTCTGCCCTTCTGGCTGTCCTAACGAGTTCACTGCCTTACTTAAACGGAACAGTTAATCGTAGAGCAGGAGGAATTCTTTCTTTCTGTCCGCTAGTCAGGAATGGAATCGGACGCTACGAATACGAATTATTGGGGGAATTTTCGATATTAGACAAATAGGGCACTAGAACGCTATTCTTCCTCCTTCCCCGCTTAGGCCTTAGGGGCTTAGCTTAGGACATTAGCAGTAAGACTTCCGCAAGGTAGCAAAAGAAGGAGCAGCAGTGGAAATCACAGTAGTTGTAGCAAAATAATTGGCACGCTAGGCCCCCTCTCTAAGAGAAAATAGGGTAGGCAGGCTACTTGAATGGACATCTGAGATGGCATCAAGCCGAGCACAAAACTGATCTGGGCTGCTAGTAAGGAGGGCTGTGAAGCCTTCTAGCATAAGTGATGCCTTCCCAAGGTACTGGAATTGGGGAAACTCGACCGTGGAGATAAGAAAACCTGTCCTTAACGGGATGGTGCCCGAACCAAGAGCTAGTCCAGATTGCTTTGATAAAGATTTACCATTTCTGTGTACTTTAATCCCTCTCTCTATCGGATGAGAATCGCAAATGTTGGTTCTCATTGTGAGAGAGCCAGGCAAATGGGATTTATGGGGATGAGTCTATCTCCTATAGGCTTATTTTTTTTATCCCTATAGAGGGAAAGACGTTGGGGGGGTGGGGAATTCAAAATTACGACAGCTCGTTAGAGAACTTGACACTATCTATGATAATCTTTCTATTTGGTTTATTCCTATAGAGTAAAAAAATAAAAAGGAAGCAATAAGCACTCAGAGTTAGTATTAGCTTGCCATGCCAAGCAGGTAAAGTAAGAGAATAGCTTATAAGGAGTCAAGAAGATAGGAGGGAGGATAGCTATGATCCTGCCAAGGTTTTCAAAAAATAACGAACATTTTCTAAAGCTGGAAGCTAGGAATCCTAGTAGTTATAGGTCTCCGTTTTATTCAGGTAAAGTCTCCGAATATAGCTGTTACTGATAAGGTAGAAAAGCAAGGTTAGTTGTCGGTTTGGTAGTACATCGGAAGGTAGCAGAACGAAGTATAGCGAATGCAAGAGTAAAAAAAAGTGTTTTAGATACTGAAGCAGGTCGAGAGCCAGACAGGCTAACGAGCGAGTGTAGTTGCTTCAAAGCGGGATATGAAAAGGAACCGCAGCTAGGATAGTAAGGACTGTCCTCACAGAACCTGAAAAGAGATTGAATCCATTCGTCCGGGGAAGTGAAAAAATATTTCAAGGCTAGGGTTTTGGTTGCCCAAGACGTGATGAAGGGGTATCGGGAAGGAATTTAGCGAACAAGCTATAGCACTTGAGAATGAAGGGGGGAAAAAGCCACAACTGGATGATAGCAAGCCTGGGCTTACGTCGGGAAAAAGAGCGCTGCCTATTCATGTTCAGGTACGAAGTGTGAGTTCTGAAAAAACGAATAAACGAACTCGACCAGAAGGGGAATGGACTCAGGTTCGAGTTCTTATAGTAGAATGAAGATCGAGTGAAGGCCTTTGAAAAATGCAAAAGCTTCAGGAGCCAGGAGAAAGGAAAGAATAGTTACTTCCTGGGAGGAGGCGTAGGTGATAGGAAGCTAATCAAGGACAGGCTGAGGATTCGAACAGCTTTAAGAGAGAAGAGTAAGGGGGACCTTCAAGGAAGAAGTGAGATAAGCTAGGATGCGTGTGATAGAGTAACCCCTAGCGAGTATAAGTGGATCAGCGCTTCTTTCTGACCTGACGCAGTGCCCTTCATTCAGGGTTTCAAGGATCGGTATCGAGGAATCCCTGACTTGCCTTTTATTTCATTTCATTTCAGGTATGAAACAAATAGCAGTCCTGGTCTATAAGTAGAAAGGCTCAAGGAAATGCGAAGTATAGAGAGTATAAGATAAGCTAAGATCTAGACTCACAGATACCAACGAGCGGGATTAGCGCGGGGGAGCTTCAGGAGACTGATAGATGATAGGTAGGTGGGTGGGAAATAAAGAGAAGTGACAAATGATACTCTTAATGGATTTGTCCATTTTAATCCTTTTGAATGGGGCAAGAGCCAGCCCATTCTTATAGCATCCAAGGTAAATAAATGCCCATGGCAGCTCTTAAAAAGATAGGAGAGGAGTGTGAGTCAGTCGAGTCGAGAAGCAACTCATTTATAAGTAAAAAAAGTTTTCATTTGAATAAAGGGCGATTTCCAAGTTTCAAGGAAGAGTGGATTAGCCTCGAATATCTTGATCCACTAGAAAGAGAATTACCAGATACGAATACAAAAACAGTTGGAGATAAATAAGCCAAAAGCTTTAAGAAAGCTATTGTAAGGTCAGATTACAGGAAGAGCACAGGTCAGTCTTCTTCAGAAGTTCCCTTCCCGTCAGGTCAGGATAGGGCGAAAGTTGCTTTGTATTAAACGAGTGATTCAGAGTTGTCTTGCCTTTATAAATTCAAGCATGTCTGTTATGCTAGTTCATCTATAGAACGTCAAGACCTTGTCTTCCGTAAGCTAGATACCCGAGAAAGTAGATTAAGGTCATACTTTTTCCTTAGAAAAAAGCCCACCCACGTCTGGGTCTAAAGTTTGTCTGCCCATTAACAACAATAAAGCCAATTCATAGCGCAAGGAGGATAAAGGAAGGGTAGGAGCTATCCAGTAGAATGCTAGGAGACAAAAGCAAGAAGAGGACCTCGCTACACGAATTGAAAGGAAAGCTCGGACTTATAAAAGGCTTCGAATAACATACATAATCTCGTTCATTTTTCCTCCAGCAAGGAGCAGAGCCAGTTCAACTCATGAAATGGATGCTTTCGTAGGGGCTGTATGCCTTTTTATTCCTAAAGCTAGAGTTGGCCTGACCGGCTTCGCAGGATCATTTCCACTCTGTAGGCCGCTCATTCCTAAATAGTAAATAAAGTGCCTTTTCGATTCTTCCTTCCTGCTTGTGTGCTTTCCCTAGGAAAATTTACTCATTCTAGCTCTCCTCTACTTCAACCACTAAGCGCTTCGCTCCTTTAATTAAGAATATAAAATATAGCCTTTTTGGCATGAACATATAGCATGTGTGCCGTGAGGTCAATCACTGTCAGTTCTTCTTTCGAAATTGTCGAATATGATGAAGAGCTCTTCTCGGCTTGAGGCTTCTTTTCAAGCTGAGTAGAAATTTCATAAGATAAGAAAGTCGCGTAGAAAGGATTTGGATTCGAGGCTTGCTAAGTGAAGTCAACAAACAAAGAAAAAAAGCTTTATCCGAGAAAGCGTCTGTTCACGTCAGGGTCCGCAGGAGATGTAGTCACTTTGACTTTTATCGAGATTGGGTTGGTATTAAGTATACTCATGATCTTTCTTTTTTTTTCCGGTATGCCGCTCCGCCAGCAAGGAGTGCCACGCACGAGCGGAGCGAAAACAAAGCAGGGGGAATTATTCGTTGGGAGAAATCCTTTGATTGCGTATTGAATATAGATCCATGTCTTTCTTGTTCCACTAGCTAGGACAAAATTATCAGATGTCCCTTTCGTTATCGTTATTACAACCTTCTTTTTTGATGTCAAAGACCAGAAGCTGTGCGCTAATTCTCATTGGATCTCGGTTGTTCTTAACAGCGATGGCTATTCATTTAAGTCTTCGGGTAGCACCATTAGATCTTCAACAAGGTGGAAATTCTCGTATTCTTTATGTACATGTTCCTGCGGCTCGGATGAGTATTCTTGTTTATATCGCTACGGCTATAAACACTTTCTTATTCCTATTAACAAAACATCCCCTTTTTCTTCGCTCTTCCGGAACCGGTACAGAAATGGGTGCTTTTTTTACGTTGTTTACCTTAGTTACTGGGGGGTTTCGGGGAAGACCTATGTGGGGCACCTTTTGGGTGTGGGATGCTCGTTTAACCTCTGTATTCATCTCGTTTCTGATTTACCTGGGTGCACTGCGTTTTCAAAAGCTTCCTGTCGAACCGGCTCCTATTTCAATCCGTGCTGGACCGATCGATATACCAATAATAAAGTCTTCAGTCAACTGGTGGAATACTTTGCATCAACCTGGGAGCATTAGCCGATCTGGTACATCAATACATGTTCCTATGCCCATTCCAATCTTGTCTAACTTTGCTAACTTCCCCCTCTCAACCCGTATCTTGTTTGTTCTGGAAACACGTCTTCCTATTCTATCTTTTCCCGAATCTCCTTTAAGGTATGAAATAGAAGCTCGAGAAGGAATAGCAAAACCTAGTTTACTTCCCAGCTCAAACTGAACGCGATGTAATCAAACTTATGGTTGACGCCGTAGAGAATATAAAGCCCATATGCGAAGTGGAAAAAGTCGGAGTAGCAGGTACTATTTATGATGCCCTGGGGATTGTAGCCAGGGATCGTCAACGAACCTTAGCTATTCGTTGGATCCTTGAAGCAGCTTTCAAACGACGTATAAGCTACAGGATAAGCTTAGAGAAATGTTAATTTGCTGAGATACTGGATGCTTACCGAAAGAGGGGAATTGCACGTAAGAAAAGGGATAATCTTCATGGACTGGCTTCCACCAATCGAAGTTTCGCGCATTTCATATGGTGGTAAAGTGAGACCACATAAAGAGCTCTCTGATCCTCATTCAGTCAGATTCTTCAGTAAGATATGGTTTTACCCTTTTCCTTTTTGTTTGAATCTTCATTCATTGAGTATGAGGAATCCAAAAGCAGTAAGACCCCGATACAACAATAAGACAATAAAATTTTGTTACCTACACCTAATTCAAGACCGGTTAATGCAAGAACTATAAATAATAATCTATACAGAAAAAGGCCATGACCGAAGGAGACTACAACCTAGTTATGATTTTAAGCCCGGCTTTATTTTTTACCTTCTTACCTATTATGGTAAGGGCAACCCCTGTTGTCGACGGAATTCGTCATCGGTGAAATGCGAGTAGAATTCACGATAGATTTCTAAATTGCGGCCGCTTAGGTTTACTTGTTCTATAAAGAACGTCAGACTTCCATCCATGAGATGGCGCGGATAGGCATGTTCAAGGGAGCTAAGCGGGGAAACCTTCTCCTGAATGAAGTCGTAGGCTTCCTACCAACTATTTGAATAGGGAGATAGCTCCATAATTCGAGCAAGATTCTGCTCATCAAGCATCAGATTTAAGAGTTTATCCTGCAGACCGGCCTTTTTATCTAATACGCGTAGTTCGAGATACTCTCGATCAAAGATTTCCCAGTAGTGATCTACGTTTAGGGCTTGATCGAAGTGCTCTCGAACCAGCCTCGCGTAATCTCCCGGGTTATTATGAGGGGGGATATTGTAGTAATGCTGGTTCTCGAGAACCCTAATTCGCTCATATATTTCCGCTTCATTTTCTGCTGCGATAACATTTCGAAAAGTAGCCAGAGACTCCTAACTTGACGACGATTCCAACGCCGGCAGATTGGAACTGTCAGCGCCGTTGTCGAAACAGCAAATCCACTCAAAGTCCAGAGGCTGAGACCCCCCACAAGTCAGTCCAAATTTACTATATGAAATAAAGAGAGTATGAAATGAATATAGAGCCAATAAAGAACAATTAACACAATCAAACTTAAATTTTAGTAAAAAGGGGGAATGCCGCAGCTCTATAAAGACTAAGATGTTCTGTTTATATTACATTACCGAGCTAGCTGGTAATTAAATCCAAAAACTGAAAAACCTCGTTGCATAACCAACTATTTTGTCCATATAACATAACATCAACATATGAATCCTTGATAAAGCCTGGGATGTGAATAGCCTCGTCCCCAATCACTGTCCGAACAAGGCCCGGCATGCTCCATTCTGGGGGTAATTGCTTACCGGCTCTCACCACCCACTCTGCGTATTCATCACAGATTCGATCAAATACCCGCTCTAACTCAGGTGGAGCGCTTTGCGCGTCCGACCTAGTTGAAGAAAGAGTTGAAGAGGTACTTGACAAGAAAGATGGCCTCTCAAAAAAAAAAGAGAGACTCATTCTTGCTCTCAAAATAAAGAAAGACTTGTCTCCAATTTCCGGTTGGTCCAACCAATAAAGACATGGGAGTCTTTGGGCATTGCTTGGGCCGACTTAAGTAAAGACTGGTTACCTAGTGATTTACAACCACCCTCACTGCACACTGTCTATATCTGTCTACTATTGATTCAGGTGCAAAAATAAAAAGAGCTTATTATCAAACTTCCCCTTCTTCCTCAAAGCACTTTGACTCTTTAAGAACGGGAGTGACAGTGGTCGAAGCTAGTGAATTGAATACCAGACGGGGTATAAGGTTCTTTTCCTATTGAATCAGATCTGGCATTAGTAGGAAAATAAAATAGGATACCAGATATTCCGACTACATGAAATAGAGCACCGGATAAGCCCCCAAGACTATCACTGGAGGTGTAAAAATGAGGAAATATCGCATCTATGCTTTGCGGATGATCTCATGGTGTTCAGCAATGGTGACTTATAATCTATTGCCATTATCAACAATGTCCTCCATATCTTTCAACATCTTTCTGGTCTCACCCCAAATAAATCCGGCTAAGAGTGAGGTTTTCATTTTATTTTTGTAAAGGAAACCACAAAGAATCAGATCACGAACATGCTGGGTTACAAGGAAGGAAAACTTCCCGTAAGGTAATTAGGGGTACCCCAACTTACGACAAAGCTCAAAGCTAGTGATTGCAAAGTACTTGTGGACAGAAAACCATCCAAACTTAAACATTGGACGGGTAGAAGCCTCTCCTACGCTGGCCGGTTACAGCTGATAAACTCCATCCTTTTCTCCACGCAAGTTTCCTCATTCTCCCTGGAAAAGTAGTTAAACAACAAGTAGAACAGCTAATGCGCTCCTTTCTCAGGGGTGGGACGGTACCTCTATCTATCTACGCAATATAGGAGTTCCATTCCAAAACGTACAGCACGGCCTTCCACGCCACCCAAACACCTATCGTCAGTCAACCTTCCCATCAGCCATTGCTCCACCAGCAGTAAGTTCTGCTCCTTTGAATTCCGGGGCTACGGTTCAATAAGTTTTTCAATTTAAAAAAAAGAGTGTTCCTCGGGCGGCACAAAACTAGAGATGTAGAATCACATCTTACGACATATGTACTGAGGAGATCATCACTCGGGAGACATGGTAACAAGCCTGGTAACCAGTTTCCTCCAATGTGGTCAACCTACCCAGATAAAATGTTGGCATACCAATCAGGGTTCCATCCTTCCAGTGAAGAAGGACTTGCTATAGCAGATTGGAACGGCTTTACTCTCTCTATATACGATACGATATTTTAGTCGCTTCTTTCTTTTTTTTATTTAATTGCAAAGCCGAAAGCAAACAGACCAACAAGCAAGAACGATTACTGATTCCCTTACTTACCCTAATCCCCAGGTTGCTATATCTAAAGCATCCGAAATGGATCCGCCTCCTTAATAGGGAAAGCCCTTTCCTTATTGATACTCGTTTTTATCCCGTATAACCAGGTCTTGTGTTCGGCGAACAATCCTGTTTTTTTATCCATCCGTTCCTGCTGCCTTGAAGGAATTCCCCTTCTTTTTCTTTGGCCAGAAATGGGGGAGACGGGAACTATGCCAATCCCCAATCACCAACTGAAAGAGAAACAAAACTTGAGAAAAGAAGTCAATCGATCAGCAAGACATGAAGCCAGGAGCTACTTTTCTCTTAGATTGGAGACTCAGGGGATTACTAGAAAGAGGTCAGCTACTTAACCTCTCAAAACGAGAGCTCCAGGGGATAGAAGATAAAGATGGTAGGCTAAGACAGAAGGAGTTCAAGTTAGATCCGCTAAGATCGAGTTGAGATTCCTAATTCAAGTAAGGGACTGAGTGGGCCGTTGGCTATGCTATTGAATGCGTTGTCGGAAGGATGGGAGGATAGAATACCCGAGACTAGCTGCCGGAAAGAGCTCATTAGAGGCATTCCACTTTCTTCCAATGAGATGTCTTACGCTTCATGATGGCATTTAGAGGGCTCTGCTCTGTAGCCAGAGTTAAGTAAGGAGCGAGGGATAGAAGGGATTCAAAAGGAAAGACTAAAGTAAAGTTTTGCAAGAAAAATCACTTATTAATCCAGCTGCCATTTCGCTAGATACCAGAAAGAGAAGAGAGTTGACGTTGAGGTGGCACATCTCGACCGATAGGGCGAGGAAAGGCAAGAGAGCAGAAGAATCCACCTTATAGGACCTACGGCATCCTAAGGGACTAGCTCTTCCAACCTTTCTTTCAAGTAGCTCTTCCGCTTCTTCCTTATACAAGAATTAACCTATCCTTGCCCAGCTCATCTCACGGAAGGAAACTCTTGAGCCCCGCACTTCAAGATACTCAAACTCTAAAAGAGGCATTTCATATCTATCTTTCGTGCTAACAGAAGCCAACTACGGTATATCATCATACAATTGACATTGCCTTAACATCTAGTTTACGTAAAAAAGTATCGACGAAAAGGTGCATTGATGCCACGGTCCTACTGAAGTTCTCTACAGGCTAGCGTACTACAGGGAAAGGAGGAAATGTTCATATTTGAATCTCTCCATAAATAAAAATAGACTGAGCTTTCGAGGTGGAGAAACTGCTCAGCGTGCGTTAGAATGACTTTGTCTCAGTGGAAGAGGGCAGAGAGTTTACACGAATTAAAGACAGGATAGGCCCAAGCAAAGAGCAGGCTTCACGAATGCTTAGCTCAGAACCTAAACTGCTGGCTTTCTCGCATTGAAGGTATCTGTTGAGGGAATCTATCCCAAAGGTAGGCCCAAGGCTGCTTAATGAGCGCCCCTTGAAAGAACAAGAGCTGCATTCATTCCACCTGCGGAAGTCTCTTAACCACCTCTAAATGTCCCCTTTTGGCTAGTATTATCAAAAATCTAGAAAGAAAAGTGGGGGCTTAATAGAGCTTGCATCTAAGGCGAGGGAGTGAGATGAATCTCTTTCTTTTCGTCTCGTTAAGTGGCCTTGAGCCTGAATTCTGGCACAAGAGATAGTCAGACTGTCTCTTCTCTTCTAAGGTGTGGGCTTGCAAGAATTAAGTAGTAAGAAGTCCTCGAATCGGGAAATGAGCTAGCCTTAAAGGAAATATTTTTATAACCTAAAGTCTCTTTCATGAGCTCAGCTTTAGTGCCACGTTCAAGCTCAAAGCAGGGAAAGGCGGGTATGAACTCATACTAGTTAGCCTGGATTGGCACCTCTTCTCGGAAAGATTCCACTCGATCTAACTCAAAAAATGAATCTTTCACTGGATAAGGAAGAGTAAGGTTAGCAAGTCCTCAAGCAGCTTCTAGCACCTAAGAAAATCGTTTCGAGTAACCTAACTTCCAAGCATGCATGAGATTCTATCTTATATATAAAATGCACTTAAGCTGTAATAATAAGATAATCAGTATCATTCTATTTCCAGCTAAGAAAGCATGTTGAATGATCTAGCTTCCCAAACGAGCTCACAAGCGAGTGGAACGGAGTAAACAAGAAATAGAGCATAGAAGTGGAATATCTTCTATTTACGTGCTGGTGATTGAGCTGGAGATAAAGTCTCTTCCTCTCCTTTACTTACAGTCGAGCTCTATTAACATAGACCCTATAGCTTAGCTCGAGTAACTACGTGCCTTTAGCTCTAGTTCAGTTACACTTATTAACACGAAGGCTAGTGCTAGTTGAGATCAGGGACGGACTCTAACTGCCCCGCTGGCCGGAGGGAAAAAGAACTCCATAGATTGAGTAAATTTACACAAACAGAAGGAATATTGGCCTATTGATCTTGACCAGCCTCGACAGGTTCCACAGCATTTGTAATTAATTTCAGTTGCAGAAGTATGGTAGAAGTTTGTGCAACTGCAGGCTCGGCTTAGTAGGTAGCAGTCCCCTAGGTCAGACTTTGAGTTTTCTTTATTTCCATCTTAGAGGTACGTAGTTCTCGACTGTAAAGGAGAGGATGGAAGACTTAGCAACTTAGCAATTACGTAAGCTTTTGAATTACAAGTAATTCTTACGGCTTTGGAATACCTTATAGTTGCAAGCAAGAGCAGAGCGAAGGTTCGGAGATCTCGAGCGAAGCCAGGAAACAGAAAGTCTTATTATTAGCCTTACCATTACAGTGAGCGAAGAAAGTTACCTAGACTAATAAGGCGAGACTTAGGGACCTAGCTAGATTCACTAGCACCGTCTACTCTCACAGCGGATAGGGATTCCGTTCCCTTTCTAACTGTAAGAGCTGCTACGGATATAAGTCCCACAGATCCCCCTTCTCGAGCTTATTCTTTTTAAGAGACTGATGCCAACTATGAATATACGATCGAATGCGCTCTTGTCTATTTTTAGACTTCTGACTTTTTTTTTGCCTTTGATCTTTTAAGCCTTCCCCAACGGAACAAATGCTGCTGCTCCTTCTGTTCAGAGTTCGCATGACTTCGCTCTCGTTGTGCGTGGACTTCCTAATCGAACTAAGATGGATCGGGCTGTTGGCTCAGAGAAGGTTTTATCGGGGAAGGAATAAGAAAAAGCTTTGTTGACTGAAGAATAAAGAATTTATTTTCCATGGGAGGGGAAGCTAACTTAACTTCAACTGAAAGGTGGGGCTGTGAACTAAAACCAGGTATCTGGAACTGGAATGGTGTTCAAACAGAGATTCCACATAAATAGAATCTGGAGAAGGAGAATCAGACATGGGATACCAATATGGGAGGGCATATAAGTATATTACTTTGGGGATCCCTCTGAAAAAGTAGCTGCAAGACCGAACGAAGCAGATGCTGAGACAAGTAGCGGAGTTTAGTCCTTTTCTGAGTCTTTGGAGTTTGGGCACGAGAGTAACTCGACTTCAAGGCCAAGGTCCGAAGATGTTGTCAATCTTGATTATGGCAAGGTAGGACACATAAGCCTAACCCCGAGCTGAGCTAGAGTTTTGTCTTTTTATTTTTAGGTATAGTTCAGTAGCAGGAGGGGTAGGAGTCATTCCCTAGAGCTCAAGTGAGGAAGGGGAAATGAGACAAAGGCTAACTAAGGACGAAGTACGGAAGATTCTTACTCCCAGGTGAAGGTTCTAGAATAAGGATAAGGAAGTCCACCGGGATTGGCTTAAAGCTAAGCCAGGTGCTATAGGTGAGGAAGGTTTTAGAAAGCTAGAGTCCGGAAGTTAAAGATGAGCCAACACTGCCCTACGTTCTACCCTTCCAGCAACTAGTGAATAAGCATACCCAGGTTCTAGAAGTAAGAATAGTAGTCAGTTTACTTGAAAAGTAATTCCCCTGTTGAGGCTAGAACGATTCTATCAGTACTAACGGATGCTCCTTTACTAACTCAACCTAACGGATTCGGCATCATTACTATACAATCTTTTTCCTTGAAAAAAGTACAGTATATTATTATTATTCTACTAGAAGTACTCGATTCTGCGTTATACTAACTACTCTATATATCAGTACGTTCGAAGAATCGAATATTTTTCTACTGGTTCAGCAAGCTAGCCGAACTATCAAACAAACAAAAATCACAATAATAAGGATCGAAGGGCTATTCTCCTAACAGTAAGTACTAGGACTAAGACATTCCCGGAGGTTCCTACAATTGAGAAAAAGTCTCCATACGAGCAGTCTTGATGCCATCCTATCCTTCCTACAAACTAAATATGTATAGTGGGAGCCTCCTACGAACCAGTTGCAGTTGTTTTGCCATTCGCTGGGGTTGAAGTTTCTTATCAGCCGGAGATCCTAGTTTCTTTTTCTTCTCCTATAGAATTGACTTACTTACTTTATACTTTAGAGTAAGACTTTCTTCCCAGTTATAAAAATAATCTCACTATCAATCAGCTTGAAAGACATCAGAATCAAAGGCAAGCCCATCTAAGATAGTTTGAGTGTTTGCTTAATCTGATACTTCCCGAGCTTTTCTTTTGCCTGTGCGGAGTCCTTAGTGCTTCATTTCTTCGGTCCCGAGCAAATTTAAGCTAGAAAAGCGTAGCTCTCATGATTTATTCGGACCATTGCTCTATTTTTTAGTCGTATCAGCTTTGATTTGACTTTCCTTGTCCGTCGAGTCAGTAGTCGATCTAGTAAGATTCTTGTATGATAAGTAGCCCATTCTCTTAGGCTTCCCTTCAGGCCTAGTAGTAATTCTTCTTTCTACTCCATCAAGATGGTCAGTGCCACTGTCTTTCTTGATTCATGTAGGATGGGTTGGTTAAGGCGAAGCAGGTTATCAAGAATCCATTCAATTAGATGCTGGTTCATTGGCCTTGCCCCTTTCCACTCCTTCACCTCTTTAACTGGGGGACAGGCAGTTGAACTCAAAGCTGCTGGAACGAGAGTTTAAGAAAGAGGCGGAACATCGCTCTCCGTGGCAGCAAAGGGAAAACGAGATATTGATTCAGTCGGAGATAGACTTTCGATGAGCTCCAGTAGATGCACAATGAGATTCACCCTGTATTGACGGTGTTAGTGCTCTATATCAAATCATTATGTTTCGGAGTACCTCTTTACTGTAAGATGTCTAACAATGCCTTCATCTTTGCAGAACTTATTGAAATCACAGAACTCCAACTTGGATGTACTCTGACCAGAAAGAAGACCTCTCTTGCTCAACATTGTCAGGCCTTTCTCACTCATGTGTCCCAGCCTCATGTGCCATAATCTGGTTTCATCTGAATCTGACATGGAGGAAGATACAGCAGCTGTGCCTGTAACGGTAGACCCTTGCAACACATACAATCTACCAATCTGATGAGCCTTCATCACAATTAGAGCACCCTTCACAACCTTCAAAACACCATCACCTAAAACAAATTTACAACCACCAAGAGAGATCTAAAGTGGTCAAAGAGATAAGATTCTTTGACATGTCTGGAACATGCCGCACCTCAGTTCTCACCACACCGTCGTGCATTTTGACCGAACCAATACCAACTACATTGCAGGGGTGATCATTGCCCATCAACACAACTCCACTGTCAACCGATAGGATTGGAGCGTCATGGCAATTCGTTCTTGACTTTAGACTAAGGTAAGTCGAAATTCGGTTGTTTTTTTTCATTTTATATAGAAGAAAAATCCATCCGCTCTTCTTCTTCCTTTGAATAAGGAAAGTTACTTGGAATCTTTCTCTCTCTCTCTTTGTCTCATTGCTATCAATCAACGGTTCGAAAGCCAAGGAAATAAAGTGGAAAATGAGGGTTGTGACTGGACACCACATCGGTGAGGATTGCGCTATGCCACCTGTCCGTCCTTACCTGGGTGGGAGTACTGCAAAGCTAACGGTAGGTCAGACAGGTCTGGGATCATCTTTCGGCTGGAACAACCTTTATTATGGGCATGATCAGCTAAAGATCACTGTCATCTCACGAATTGGATTCGAACCAATATCAAAGACTTTACTTTATTAGATCGTGAGTCTATCTGTCGTCCTCCTCATTCTATTCAAGTCCTTTTAGTAACAATCCATTCCCCGAATACAAAAAATGGAGATGAAAAATATTAGTCGACCTTATGTCGGGAGTTAACCTGGTGATAGCCTAACTCCCTTAGTTAGTCAATGAAGTTGTTCCAAATGGAACAGCGAGCGGTGCCAAAGTTGCGATTGAGCACACGGAAATGCTCAAGACGCTCATCGATGTCGTGCTCCCAGTCGTCATGGAGAGCCACCTCGAGCGCACGCTTCACATCCTTTGGTTCCTCGAGAATGATCCCCTTCCTTCTTCTGCAAGAGAATGTGGGCTCTGTCTATCATGGCTGTTTTTACAGGCCATATTGATAGCATCAATGGCCCTATATAAATGGTCATCCTCAGGTTCCGGCATCCTCTGCTGTGCCACCCAGTGTTATGCGCCGGCTGAACAGCCGACTGCTGGTTGGAAGTGGGCAGGTCCCCTCGGTTCAGGGCTGAAGAGACCTCCTGGTCGAACGCTGTTGGATTTACATTTTTTTTTGATGGTCCGGCTTCTCCTCCCTCCCTGGGGGTTATATGTGAAGGCCCCACTTCGTCATTCAAAAAATTCCGGATAAAGTAACAATCAGACGAAGTAAAAGGCCAAGAAGACGAACTAATGGAGGGAGACGTTTTGGATTGCTGAGGTGAGGGTCCTGGTTTCTGAGGTGCTTGATCACCAGGATGCTCAGGAAGCTGGTGATTTGGTTCTTGTTGGATTTCGGGGAACTGCTCCCTTTCCTCCGGGGGAGGCAAGGGAGGAGAGTGAGGGAAAAGAGTAAGAATCGTCTGATAAATAAGATCTATTCCCGTCGGCACAATCAGTAATGACTATGATGGGAATTCCGAATAAATAAAAAGAGGAATAAGAAAGCAAGAAAAAGGGACAACTTTCGTGTAGTTTGTGAGCGCTTCCTCTTTAGGTTGATAGATCTATAATTGGGGAGGGGCTCTTGGCTTTCTATACGTTGTTGTTTCCTGACCACGAGATGTTATGTTTGCTAACAAACTAATTGGTAGTAGGCTGATCTACTTTCCTCTTCTGATTGATACCTTATCCTCGGGGTCTGACTTGGCCTTTCATCCATCCTCCGATTCTCCATTGCTCTGATCGAGGTACCCGACCTCTACTCTTGATTCTTGACTAACTATGGTATGGCTCCTACTTTTCACTAAGGCAAGCCCTACCGACGCCCTGAATCAAACCTCTCACCCCGGACTCTGCCAGTCTCCTAGTAGTTGCAGCAGGAAGCCATAAAAGAGGCAATCCCATATCTCTGGGAAAAAGGTAAGACCGGATACCGGTCACAGGGACAGGGGAGGGAGTGAACCCAGGTTTTTTATTCCGCTATCACAGTGAAGCAGATGAAAGAAAGTCTTTCCCCGAAGCAATCATGTTCCGGCTTTTAGTGATAGGGCGGGCTTCCGAGCGAACAGGAAAGGAGCAAATCCAGCTTCCTTCGTAGCCGTAAGTAGTCGGATGATGATAAAATAATAGATTTCTTTGTGTTAAGCAAATGAGTGGAACACAATAGGAATCCTATTTTAACAGAGTCCAACACTTCACAATGAAAGAAGAATTGAGCAACGCAACGAAGTCCAACGATAGAGAGCGGACAGATGAGCTAGATGCCGATAAGGTGACGGAGGGTTTTTTTCCTCCCTCTAGGATGCTTGGTTGGAGTTGGGAGTTCGGAAAGAGTGACTCGCATTAGACTTTCCATTTTCATCCCCTTCAAATCAGTGCCAAAATCTATCCTGCTCCCTCTCAGCTGAACCCGACTCAACTGTGCCAAAAAATACCTCCTCATCCCTCCATGTCTTCAATATCAGTTACCACAAACTGTTCCATAATAAAGTAAGTATCCCGTTCTGCACTGCTATCTTCAGCTCACCAACTGTAGCATACGGTTCCACCATTATAAACACGCCGGGTGTCAATTCCCTCGTCAACTCATTTTCTAACTCCGCATCACTCTTAAAATGAATCTTAAAAGTAGATGTAGTGGATAAGCTCTCCGTGTTGGGGTAGGATTGGATCCTTTAGGAGAGAGACATAAGGTATTAAGAAATGGAAGAAGGTCTTTGACGATCCAGTATTAGCTAGCGGACTCATACCTTGATGACTCCCTAGTGGCCAGGGAAGCGTTAGCTTCACCCTTGGAACGTATCATCTACTCTCTAACGCTCTCTCTTCGGAAAAGCAGCTTCACTCCGCTCTTATCTCTAGCGAGAGAGCATCTCTCTCTGTCAGGCGATTTCCTAAGGGGAGAATCTAGGTTTCAGAGTTCATCAGTCCAAAGAAAGACTCCTGCGCCATCCATTCTTCCAGTATGAACCTGTTTCATAGCATACATCGTAGAAGACGGAACTCCTTGATTACCTTCTCAACAACCCTTCTTCTCTGGTGGAGTGACCAGTTGACTTTCCTTATCGACTTTCATCAGCGCACTAGCTTATTGCTAGACTTTGACCCTCGAACTAGCTGCTTTGACTTGCTATCTAAGAGACTAGCCTGGAGAGATAGGAAAGACGCTCTGCTCTAAAGGGATACTCAAAAAAAGGCAAGTCGATGCCCGGATTGACAACTTGATGTCGCAAGATCGGTTGTTAAAAGACTAAAGCCCACCTTCAAGCTAAAAGTCTAGTCGTATTTATTACTTATTCTTTCTTCTTCCGCCATACCCAAGAGTCATTCACTCCCTAAAGAGATTTGAGAAGAGTCACTAAGATAAGAGTTGTTATAGGATTTAACGAAAAGAGGTTTATAGTAAGTGTGCCGCTAATTGGCATATCTCTTTGTTGTAGAGACCTTCCTTGCCCTGCTTAGGGCTATGTGATAGCACCCAAAGGGACCTATTCTATTTGAACAAGACCACATAAACTATAGTCATACGGTCAACCGAACCAAAGCCAAAGCTAAATCCTCTGCCCTTCGCTCCTTCCCCGGCTCCACTCCAGAGCAATGCCACGACCCGGTCGAGAGCCTTCCATGCGGATTCCTTCAAAGAGAAAGAGAGTGTGTATTCCCGGCATCAATGCAAAAACTTCCCGGTCCGGGAACAAGAGCAATTATTGGTCCCACCAAACCATGCCATGAACAGTACAACAAGAGCAGGGGATATTGAAACTAAGACTCATTCCGTCTATTGCTCTACCTTCCTCCTACAGATTTAATTGCATCGTTTATTCCTATTCCGGCAAAACTAGCTGCTGACTCAACCTCCCCTCGGGTCTACGCCCTCGATGTTTTAACATCGGCGATTGAAAGAGAGTAGGAGCGCATTCTCTCCATCTCAGTTGGAAAGTCTATCGCTCTCAGCAGCAGTTCCTTGGTCATACCCTCGGTGATGACTAGCAGTCCTTCCTGATTGAGTTCTCACCCTCTATTGATAGATCAAGAGTTCCGGCCCGGCTATGATTCCATCAACAAACCCGATTCGGTATAAAAGCTTAGCTTCTATTACAATAAAATATTTTGAAAAGAGCTATCCTAAAGCTTGACAGGTCTCCCCAACTAAGTTTTTCACTCGAAAACCGAAAGCATAAGGATGAGCCTTGGGCCCCCTTTCCCAAGAACAGAAGGAGCGTTTAGATACTGTACCTTTAGGTGCGTGCAGGAGCAAGGACGAAAGGAGAACAAGTCGCAGGAGAAGCGTTGAAGAAGCAGTAGTTTAAGCCATTGATCCTGCAGCTTAGCTTCTAAAAAAAAAGAAGAAGCACCAGCAGACAGAGGTAGATACAGAGCCATAGGCAAACCTTCATGATCGATAGCCTTTTATGAAAACGACCCTCGTGCTCGAGAGGCGGATCCAAAGGCAGTCGCTTACCTAGGAGCATACTTCGGTGTAGCATAGCGGCATACCCCTTTGACCTAGGTGGAAAAGAGATCTATTGAAACCCACCATAAGTCGGAGACAGCTGCGGATACTTATTTACCATAAGCAAAAGCGGCTACTGAGGCGAAGGCAAATAAGGTTCCGTTCCATGGAAGGAAAAATAAATGGAAATAAAAATAATAAAAGGTCTGATCAAATCTTTTGCTTTCTTGTTGTCTTGAATTGTTATAGAACGGCTATTTATATAAGGTCTAGTTGGTAGGATGAAGTGGGATGTGAAGCCTTAGTGGATATAGCAAGTGTGCCGGGGATGCGGCTCGGGCGTAGTAGGTCTGGACGCCTAGCATGAAACAGCCTTCTCTGGTAGCGGCACTATACCTTAGTATAGTCTCTCTCTAGCTTCCAGTCTATATAAAAAAACTTAGTTAGCAGAGGTCAGTCTGTCTGGCGTTCCCTCGCGTAAAGGGCTACTTTGGCATCGGCTCTCTCTCGTTAGGTAATTACCGAGGCGAAAGCAGCTCTCTCGGAAGTTAGTTTCCCCGCCATCTTAGTGGGACTAGTCTAATAAACTTTCACTTCAACTGCCTGACTCTAACAAGTAAGCAAGTAAACTACCAAGACTCGGATTTTTTTTTGTGGTAACGCCCTTCTAGAATTACGTTTAACGTCCCTTTATTACTTTCCCGATCAGCGCCTCGGGTCGGTAGCCGGGCTCCGGGACATTACTACCACGGCTACTATCGACCCGAGCCCAAAGAAGGAAAAGAACGGACTAAAGCGAGGAGTTCATTGGCCATACATAGTGAAGGGGGATGGGGGTCAACCTCTTTCATGACCCATGGCCCCAGTGTGTAACTTGGTTAGCATTTCTAGAACCAATTTAGTAGGGTTGGTTTTTCGATAGGGAAACAGGGGAGTTAGTTGGCTGTAGTTGAGACACGTTTTTCAGGTGGACGATATGGATTTCTTCGAGATGGTTAACCACTTTTTTCACCGTGAGAGGGAGGTCATTCAGAACCCGCAGGCTCCAGTCCAGAACCGGTGGAAGTTCCCCACGCCGATCCCCCTGAGGGACTTCGAAGTGCTATTCATTGATTCTTGAGCAAGTTCGGGAATATTGTGAGAAGGGGAAAGGGCGGCTTTCCGTTCACTTTCCGGAAATGGAATAAATCTATTCCAGTGTCGCAGAGAACATTATGTCTCGCGATCTGAAAATATCTGCGGAGATTTATATTGAAACCCTCCGCGGATGGGTGGAGGAGATAAAGGAGAACCCTAATCCCCTAAAATACCTCATTAGGGAACACCTGTAAGATGAGTCTGCCGCTTTCTTTCATAACAGAGCCGGCGGCTGGCATAGAAGTCTCTCGCACGCAAGGAGATGCATTTCTGGTACAGGTAGTACTGGACAAGCTCTTAGGGAATAATATCTTTCTTATTTCTTCCTTTTTTCCCATGACGACTAGGAACGGGCAAATAAAAAATTTCACTTCGAATTTCGGACCTCAACATCCTGCTGCTCATGGTGTTTCACGATCAGTATTGGAAATGAACGGAGAAGTGGTGGAACGTGCGGAACCACATATTGGATCACTCCAGTGCGGCACGAAGCCGCTGACGCCGAGTCGGCTCCTATGCCGCTAGCTATGCCCTGCTTGGTCCCCCGGCACGGTGGAGGTCCCGTAGCGCGTCACGAGCACCGGGCTAAGGGGCGGTTGAGCAACTCAAGCGAACCGCCCTACCTTACTACAACATAAGGACAGAAGGGAGAAGGTTGTGAAGGTGGCCTCGTTATCCACACCTCCGGTCAGATGAATGGAGGACCGACCGACCCGGGTTTTAATGAGCGTTGGCGGGTCCTGGAGTGCCTGTCAAGGGCGCTAGCGCATACCCCGGGGTGATCATCACCACCTGCACCTCACATCTCGGCACAGCGGAACGTGTAACCCGCCTGCTGTCTCATTCAACTACATTTGTTCCTGTAATCCATAGCCTAACAGAACGCAGCAGCGAGGGACAACCCGCCCATACAGCCAGCGGGGAGGATGGCACTACTGGCAAAGACCGTCCGGCGAAAACGCCGCAGGCGCGAAGCGTGGTAGGCCTGTGCCGGGGGAGCATAGCATAGGTAGGAAAGGGAGCCAGGACGGTGGAAGAGCCTGGGGGGCCGGGTCATTTGACGGAAATGGAAGGCTTTTCCCCTATTAGAGAAGGCCCTCTGAAGTCAAGGGGAAGTGCATTAATTCTTGGAAAAAGAGGGAGCAAGCCTATCAAACAAAAAAAATGAATGAAAGTAAATTCAATGAATAGATAGAGTCAACGGTACGACAGACAGCGCAGCCTACACGCGAATTAGCTTCCGAGGTCGAGCAGTCTCAATTTCACTACAGGATTTGCGAATGAATGCTGGGCTGGGCCACCTCGAATGGCGTGAGCCGCATGCGGGGAGACCCGCACGTACGGTTTTTAGGGGGATCTGGTCGAAAGACCGGCCGGCGCCCACCCGACTAGAGGGACTGAGAAATTAATAGAGTACAAAACTTATCTTCAAGCTTTACCTTATTCTGATCGTTTAGAGGGCGATCGCGGAGTCACTGAATGGAGTCCTCCGTTTCTTTCGGAGGTGCTGACCCGCAGCGAGGCAGAGATGACTAAGTGACATATTGAATATGGCGACGACAACAGCATGTCGTAGAAGGAGATAACAGGTGGAGCCAACGATCCGCTAAGACTAACGTATCTACAACTCCATCCCCGAGCGGCAGTCAAACGGAGGCGTGAATGCAAGATGCCAGCGGAATGATCGGCCGGACAGAGGCTAGGGCTGCTTCCTTCCCACCGCGTCCTTCCTTGTGTGTCGGAGATATAAAGCGAGTGCACCGGAAAAGAACAGGAACTGGGTCGATCTATTCTATGGCGAAGCATCCGAAGCATAACTGCACACTCACACGATCTTTGCCGATAGATAGGAGCATTCGGTGGAACCGGTGAACTACACTTGCTTCTGGATAGATGTGTGGGACAGAGGGCTCGTGGTACCTGCTGCCCACCTTTCCTCCTCTGCTTTGAGAACCGTGTGAACAGAGAGTGGGCAGAAGGGAAGGAGGTCCTCATACGGAGTCGCACACTTACTTGAGCAGTGCGGAAGACTGGGGAATGGGTTGAGTAAACTCCCCAGGGGCCGGGAAAATAACAGACGAAGCTTTACTTAGATAGGGCTTTGATTGGTTTTTTTTTCTTAGTGATTGGAAAGGAGGGCGCCTGGGTATGTTACAAAAAGGGAAGGCAGAGGTAGTACTTCGAATGGCGAAACGAAGGGCTAAATAGCGCCAGTGATTCTCTGAGCCGGTCTGGATTTTCAACGCCTCGGGAAACTGGTCGAGATAGATGACAGCACCCTTTTCCTCTCTTCCTTACCGGGAGGGCAATCTTATCTTATGGCCTTCACCTCCCGCCCGGCCCGGAAATATAACCCAGCCCCCCCCTCTGATCCATTCATTTCTGCAAGCAGGGGGGATCCTGAGCTAAGCCTCCCGTCTATTGCATAACCTAAAAAAGCTATAAGCAAAGTACCAAAGGTGCGCTCCGCCCGGTGACTCAGAAAGAAATGGGTTTGCGCTTTGAAGTGATGAGGTCGCAAAGAGGGAAGTAGGGCTCCTATTGAAAGGCTTTCCCTCCCTCAAAAGGCGACCAGCTTTCAATACTGTTACGTTACGCTGCCATTTTTCCAATATCATTGAATAGCATGGCCTGCCTGGGGCTAAGGTCACTCAAGTGGGAGAGCCGTGTTATGGGTGACCTTATTGCACGGTTCAGAGAGCACTTGTGTATGTGATGCAAGTGAACGTGTACGAAAAAGCTGTATCTAGGGTGAGTTCTTCGTTCCGTCGTCGACCCTATCTATGTTTCTACGATGGCCCAAGAACACGCTCATTCTTCAGCCGTAGAGAGACTTTTGAATTGCGAGGTACCATTACGAGCTCAATATATACGAGTGTTATTCCGTGAAATAACTCGAATTTCAAATCATTCACTTGCTTTAACTACTCATGCTATGGATGTGGGAGCATCAACTCCGTCCCTGTGGGCTTTTGAGGAGCGGGAGAAATTGTTGGAATTCTATGAAAGAGTCTCGGGAGCCAGGATGCATGCCAGTTTCATACGACCAGGTGGAGTGGCACAAGATCTGCCTCTTGGCTTATGTCGAGATATTGATTCCTTCACACAACAATTTGCTTCTCGTATCGACGAATTAGAAGAGATGTCAACCGGCAACCGTATCTGGAAACAACGATTAGTGGATATTGGTACTGTCACTGCACAGCAAGCAAAGGATTGGGGATTCAGTGGTGTAATGTTAAGAGGTCGTGCGACATGAAGACATTGATAGCAATATGGGGGGAGTTCCCATCAGGCAACAACGGTTCTGCCTGACCCTACTTAAGCATGCATATTCTGTCAGTGAAGACTTGGTGTGAAGCCTTGGAGCTTACGTTAGAAGAGCAAAAGGCCCGGGGCTAGGGTGAGCTGAGGGGGGACAGCGTAAGTGAGCGAATGTGTGTAAGCCCAGTCAAACATGACTGTTCTAGGCGGGGCGGGCCACCCACCTTCGAATGGTGTTGGTCCTACGGACCGTGAATGGATTCGCCTCTGGCCTCGGGGCACGTCGGAACCGCATGAGTTCACCGGGGTGGAGCACAGTCCGCCAAAATCGGCATAGGTTAGGTGCTATTGATGGAACATGGTAAGCCTATCTTTCTCCATATGGAAGTGCTGCGGGCACATAGAGATGTGGGTAGAGGAAGTCTCAAAAAGCGAAGGCCGAGCTGTAGGTCACGTGACCTGCACCGAGTTGGTGGCTGACTGGGCTTTTTCCTTGATCAAAGCAGATAAGCTCGCCGCCTTCTTGTTATCAAAAAGTAGGTCGAATCGGGCGGGCGGAACGTCGAATGAAATAGGTAGCCGGGTTCTCTTTTTACAACCCTTTTGATATGATAGGCCCCCCCTATCCCTTATGTTTAGGAGCGGGATCCGCCCAAGAACGACCAGTCCTGTGGTGGTACGGAAGGCACGGACTCCGCGAACGTCCCGCGCCCCCAAGACTAATAAAGGAAATAAAGCCTCAACCAGAACCACATTCCTTTTGCGTGCGGATTTAGCTAAGTGTCTGACTCTATTGGTCATAGTTCCCTGCTGTTGCGGCCAGTGCTCGTTTGCGCGCAACCCAACAAACAAGGAAAGGATGCCTCTCGGGGCATCTGAGAATGATTCGAGCCGTATGAAGGGAAACTCTCACGTACAGTTTGTCTTTTTTGGGGGGGGGAGGAGCCCGACAGGGTCCCCCCACTGACTTGGCCCAGGCCTAAGTGAAAGTGAAGTGGTGGGCCTACCCATCCCAACCAGGGGTATGCTGGGATTCGCGAAGAGCAGCACCTTACGATGTTCATGACCAATCGGATCCTGACGTACCAGTAGGTACCAGAGGAGATCGCTATGATCGTTACTGTATCCGTATTGAAGAGATGCGACAAAGTCTGCGGATAATTTTCCAATGTCCTAATAAAATGCCTAGTGGCATGATCAAAGCCGATGATCGTAAGTTATGTCCTCCATCACGATGTCGAATGAAACTATCCATGGAATCGTGCGCCGTGTGAAACGTAGATCATCGCCGTTCTTAACCGAGACTCAGGTTAAGCTCCGTCTCGGAACCTAGTGGGGTTAGGAGTAAAGCATCCCGAGGTTGGCGCATCTCGTTGGGCGTGGAGAAGCATTGGGAATCTCAATTTCTTTCTTCGGAGCCGTTTCTTTTCCCGTCCCCCCGCCCCGGCATAGCGCTTCGCTTCCCGTTATTCGGAAGAATAAACTGACTTATCCCTTCTTCATTGATCTGGGGGAAAAGGAACCGTCTACCAGTTGGCAAGCTAGACATCAAGTAAGTGGCTTGATGAGGATAACTAAGCTGACACGCCGGAGTTGGCTGCTGGCACAACAGGGTGGTGCCTTACCGCACCGCAGGCGAACGCGCGGTAGCGTTCGTGGTGGTGCTTCAGGATTCCAATGTACTGCGTCCAAGATCAGAACGAGCTTGCCGGCGGACCACTGCCGTCCCATTCTTGAGTGAGCTGGAGCGCAGCCATCTTATCCACTGAACTAGCTAGAAGCTATCGCTTCGGGTCGAAGCACTAAAAGAAAAGGACCGGGAAACGCGGCGGCATAGGAACCACGGGACCCCCTACTAGTAAAGGGAAAACGGAAGTGCGCGTTAGCGCACCAGCTGAAAAAGCCCATTCCCCTGACTCTCACTTCACCCCTCTCCAACCAGTCGAGTGGCATTAGCCCCTCTCCCAGCAAGAGGATGCGCGAACCTCCAAGTAAAGCGCGCTAGCGCGCTTGACCAAGGCTTTCTCTGATAGGGGCTCGCCGTTGCTTGTTTGGGTCGAGCGTCAACCTTAGCGCATCCGTTTTATTGCTCCTTAGCACAAGCACTAAGTAAGCCCGTGAAGGAAAGGCCTTTTCATACATCATAATAAGGTAAGCTTCATAGCTCCAACCTAGACAAGGCCTTTTTTTTACCGTTTTTTAGATTGGGTTGCTGGATACGGGATCCTCGTAGTAGGCTGGACCAACATCCAGCCGAGAGAGGGCAGCCTTTAGAAGCAACAAGTTGGGAAACCAATAGAACGCTTCGCGTTTTCTTATCTTCTTCCCGCCCTAGGAGTAGC